GGGGGAGGAGATGGCAGGGCGGCTCCCCAGATGGGGAGAGGAGATGCCTAAGAGGGCCCGACCCTCATATCCCCCTCGCTCGGAGGAGCAAGAGGTCGTGACAATGACACGCTCCATGCTTTCCAGGATTCCCCGGATCTCCGGATGCTCCACAGGGGCTGCAGAGACGAGGGCCGCTAGAGACTCTGTCGATGATCCTCAGGACGTGTGTTAGCCCAATGTGTGTTACCCCCATTGAGCCCCACCAGTAGATCATTACGTCGCCTGCGTCGTATCAAAGGGCTTCGATGGACAAACACACGTTGGGGTTGAGACACATTCTGAGGATCATCGACTCTGGAAGTCCTAACACACACCCTGAGCCGATCCTACTATGGCATCCTTCCCGTCCTTCTCGCGGGGGGCCGCTGCCCCAGTTTTCCCCCCTCTCGCGGGCCTTCGGTCGTCCCCCATTTTTCGGTTGTCCCTCTCTCGATCTCTCCGCCGCGCCTCTCGTCCTCGCTCGTCGTGCCCCCCCCCCCCTCGCCCTTCGCGCACCTCCCTCTTCTCTTCCCTTGTTGCGAAGTCACTTGTCCTGTTCTGCTTGCCGACGCGCCATGGGGCGTGCGGCCACCTGGCCTGACCGAACCCTCCCCCCTTCCCGCCCTACATGCAGCTGTGAAATCGGTGCAACAGTCATCGTCGTTGTTGTCGTCGTCGACGATGGGGGGACTGAGGTTTTTGGGCGCCCCGTTGGGGTCACGCGGAGGAGTGGGGGGCAGGAGGAGCTGCATCGTTTTTGCAGCCCCACTTGCAAAAGCAACGCAACTCCTCTTGCCACCCAGAAGCCCCACGACGCCACGGTGACCACACAAAAGCATCGTCGATCCGCCTGCTGCTGCTGCTGATGCTGCTGATGCTGCTATTCTTCTACCTCCTCCATCGCCCCCGAAGTCTGCATCAAGTTGCAGCTTGTTGTGTGGGGTATCAAATGGCATTCGGCCAATCCCGCCACCGTTCCTGGGTTGTGGTTATGAAGCCTAGTTGATGTCCGTTGGGATCTCGTGGGAGGCATCTCGAGGGGCTCTTTGGGGCAATTTGGAAGCCTATTGGGGGCCGTGTTGGGGTTTCTGTTGGGCCTCTTGGGGGCCTCGTGGGGCCTCTTGAGAGGGCCTTTTGGGAGCCTCTGGGGGCCTTCAGGGCGCCTCTTGGGGCCTCCTGGGGGCCTCGTGGGGCGGTTCGCGTTCCCTCTCCAGGGTCTTCTGTGGGGCCGTCTTGGGGCCTTCTTGGGCCGTCTGGGACGCCTCTTGGGCTGCTTTGGGGCGTCATTCGGCCATCGTGGGGCCCTCTTGGATGCCTTCTGGACCGTTCTGGGGTGGTCCTGGGGGCCCCTCTGGGCCGCCTTGGAGCGTAGGAAAGCCGAAAAGGCGGGAACGCCGAAATCATTCAAAAACTCATGGTAAATCCATGATATGTGCCTCGAGGGAGGCCTCTTAGAGGCCTCGTGTGGCGTCTTGCAGGTCTCTTGGGCCGTTGTGAGGCGTTTCTGGGCCCTCTTGGCCGTCTCGGGACCTTCCTGGGGCCCGAAGAAGTCGCGCGACAAGATGCGGGGGAGCCCAGGGGGCACGCGGGAGGCCCCGCCAAGTTTAAGAGATGTGGGGTTCGGGCCCCATACAGTCGGGGCCCTGAAGAAGGAACCCTTTTGGTTTGGGAGGGGCTCCGCGTTTCTTAAGTGTTTCACAGCTTGCCTCAGGGTTTCCTTATGTTTCCGATGGGGAATCGAAGTTTAACTCATGGAAAAAAAGGGGCCTCGTTCCTTATTTAGGGTTCCTCAGGTCAACGCCCCGACGGTAAAACTCCTCAGGAGCGCTGAAGGGATTAGGCAAAGGACCTGAGGAAACGCCCACTCCGTGCCCAGCGGCACGGTTGCGGATGAAGTGAGGACTGGAGCCGTCGGAGACCGAGATCTCCATGACGTGCAAAGAACATCCGAAAACGCAGCAAATGCCTAATCGGTCTTCCCCCTCCACCTCCTTCTACTCCCCCTCCTCCCCCCTCCGCACCCCAGACCACCCCCCCAGATGCAAAACAAGCATTCAACAACAAGCAAAAGCTGCATCGATCCCCCTCCTAATCCTACTCCTCCCTCTCCCCCTCCTTCCCTTCGCGTGTCCGCGCAAGACATGCCGACCTTCCTGCCCACCAGAACCCCTCACCAGAGCGCAAAACGAAACATCCAGAAAAGCATGAAGACCCAAACTTACCCTGCCCCTACTCCGCCCCCTCATCCTCATCTTCCTCGTCATCCTCCTCCCTCACCCTCGCTCGCCCTCGAAATCTCGAAATCTGCATGGCTCTTCCAACTGGCTCCAACACCTTCTCGGCCCCTTCGGGCGGCCCTTGAACCTCCAGGCTGGCGGTGGCGGGCCGCTGCGGCGCGGACGGCGGCAACGCGCCGCCGTTCAGCTGGCGGCTCACCCTGGCTCTGCGCCAGGGCGACCTGCTGCTGATGCGCCTGGAG